CGTCTACACGGAGTAGCGTACCATTCTGCAAAGAAATAATTCGTTTGACCTCCATATGCATATGTATGTAGGTACATCGGTATGTCACTCACCTCGAACAGTTTCCAATCGTCAAAGGATCCCAACTCTGGCTGCAGTGAGTACATGAATTCGCAAGGGCGAAAACTTTGCACCGCAAATTGTTTGAACATGTCGACCGATCTCAGCGTCTCATCTGGCAACGTCAAATTCAGCAGCGGCTGTGGCCACTCGTAGTCCGTGTTGTTAACGCAGGCGCTCTCGTTGGTGCTATAGCTGGCGCCCCATGGACAGCAGATGTTTATGCACGGCTTCAGCTTGCAGATGCACGCACGTGCATGTGGCTCGACTTCCACACGTCGCACCAAGTCCGTATAGATGTAATCATACCAGCCGACCAGTTGTGGTGGGATCAATACACCATCGTACAGATAGGATCCGTTCGCGAACCGCAGATCGCCGGTGACATTGACTGTATCGAAGAATGTGCAGGGCACATGGATGCCATCGCGCTGATGGAGCTCTTCATGGTATGCGCTGGCGAGCGGTGGAATGCAAAGGGCTATAGTCGAGCAGATCAAGGCGACCAGTAGTGGAAATCTATGAACTTGTGAATGGGTGTAGAGCTGCGACATGGCGACTTAAATGTGGGACGGCTGAAAAGAAGCGAATGGGGAGAAATTGTAAATTATCGGGCGAATATTATTTTGTCAGTTTAATCAAATCAAAGAGGTTGTCAGTCACGATTTCTTAAATCTCCCTTATCAAAATCTGCTGGATATACTTAAATAGGCAATTAGGATTTGTAAAGAGTACAGGGTCTGGGTTTGTTTGTAGGCATTTAGTATATGGCTTCATCTTGAAAATAGTAAAAATTCTTGCATATTTATGTACCAATGTACATTCTTTTCATCTATTATATTTATTTTTTTAAGCGTACTTAAGGTTAGGTCAGTTTGGCGCCCAACTACCAGTCAAGGATCATCCTAAAACATTTCGCCCTGTCAGTGGATGTAAGTGAAATAGTACTGATTGAGGTAAGCTGATAATTTTGCTTTTACACCCAGTGCAACCTATTTACCAAATTAACGCCTTCTAAATATGGATCCAAGTTCACAAATAACGGAACGCTTTGGTGACTACATACAACTACCCTTGCATGTCACCTTACGGATCCAACAGAAACATTCATCTGGCCAATACTCGTAAGTGCTGCCACTCAGAAAGAAGACTACGGTTAATATCATAGAAGCGATAATATGAAATACTTGGTAAATTTTTTTTTATGCCCGAGTTGTGTACGTTCATACTTATAAATGTGTATATAAAAAAGTTATAGTTTTAATTTATCTTCAAGTAGCATCGAATATTCAAATACACCCAACATAAGGGCCTGTAAGTTCTTCCCAAGCAGCCCTTCGTTCCAATAAAAAACTATTCAATTCAGAATGGATACTCTNAATTCCTTTGGGGCGTGTTGACTAAATAGTTGAGTACACAGACATGTAGTTAGTGTGTGACCCCATCATATGAGAATGTACCCATTTTGTTTACATACTTACTAGTACGTCCGGTACACACGAATACAAAGTAATTTGTCATAGCGTATTTGCACACGCGCGAAATAAATAAATTTATGAAAACATTATTTAGCAAGGGTTATTCTGCCAACTCTTGATTATGAAGAATTAATATTTATTCCCTAAAGAGCTGTTCAAATTAATGAATGTGAAGCAATTATCCATCCAAATTCGGAGTGCACAAGTAGCGGGTAAAAATGTTCGTCCGTTTCCTGGAATATCTACATACATATGTACATACATAATATCCTGTTTGATATATGAGTAAGTAAGAGGAAGACAAACATATTTACGGTCATAACAGTTTTTTTTTATGGAGAGGTTTATGAAAAAGGTTTCTTTATAAAATATCTACACTAATATGGATTTATGTTATAACGGATGTTTTTAGAGGTATGAAATTTCCTAGAAGGATAACTGTCGAACCTGGCAAATTACCAAGCAAAGGCTAACACACCGGAACAACGTTTACAAATCGTCCAGGGACCCATACTACAGTCAAGGAGCATTTTGATGCCAGCAGGTTGAGAGTCTTCCTGGATTCTATGACTAATTTGGACGTTGTTCCGTTAGAATTGAGGGATTTTATAGCAGCCCAGCTGTTAGAATAGATAGCAATAGGCCGCCCTGGCGGGGCCGAGGTTATGAGCCAACGAGCCGCCTCCATTATGGCATTTAGCTCTGCTTGAAAAACGCTACAATGATCCGGTAAGCGAAAACTGATTTTAGCGCGAGTTCGTCAGAGTAAATCCTGCTACCCACTCTTTTGTTAAGCTTGGAACCATCTGTATTTAGGGCCGTAGACCCTGGGTTCAAGTCTGTGGCCCCTTCCCATTCGTTTATCTCTGGGATTCTTGTGGTGAATTTGTTGTCTAAACAGAGTAGAGGTGTGGTATAATCTAACTGTCGTAGATTATCCGGTAGAGTTTCAAGTACTTTTGCCTATCCGAATCTGAGGCCTCTCCACGGCTGGATCGAAATTTGCCGTAGAGATCCACAGGTGGAAGATTTAACATTACTTCCAGAGATTTGGTGGGTGTAGTGGGCAGTGCTCCCGTAACGCGCATGGCAGCCTGCTCTGCACTCATTCCATTTTGGTTCTGGACAAGGTATTGAAGGTTGAATCTGTACGATCCACAAGCAGTTACATACATATATTTCCGAAACTGATAGTTGTGAGTTGTGCCTCTTTAGAAGAGGGGATGCGCTATGATAAATACGAGTACTGGCCATAATTCATTCGATTTGCCTACAAAGTAAACACACAAATTTACACTAACCACATTTGACGTTCTCCTGCCATTTGTGATTAATTTGTTTGCAATAATCTTCATAATTCATTTAATTAATTGCTTTAAGTGTGGAAGCGCGTTGCCATAGAAACAAATGAGGGTGCCAAAATGTGTGTTTTGTTGGTACATTTTTACAACGCAAGTGGGTTGCAATTTCGCTGGCTTGTCAGTTTTGTTATAAGAACTTTTGATAAAGTAAATTATTTTTTAAATATTGCATACATATAAGCAAATTAATGAAAATAAAGTGATAAATTATTTCAGCATTTTACTTGCTTATGAACGCGCTCTCAACGAAATAATGCTTCAAAGAAAAACAAAATATGTAAAAATAGTAACAAATACACAAAACTGCTATATTTTCCACCAAATTTATTTAATATCTAATATTTAAAAGTATGCATCCACATTCATACATACATATGTATGTACATATATAGCGCGATAGAGTTTGACGTTGGAATATACAAATTCCATTGAAGAT